TGGTGAACACGCAATTCACAATAATTAATGAACACCTAGTTCAAGAACACCTAATGAACACTTAGTTCCAATATTACCCAATGAACACCTAGTTCACAAACACTAAATGAACACTTAGTTCAAACATTACCCAATGAACACCTAGTTCACAAACACTAAATGAACACTTAGTTCAAATATTACCCAATGAACACTAAGTTCAAATATCTAATGAATACTTAGTTCGAATATCCCTGGTGAACCCAATCACCTAAGGAACACAGAGTACGAAAGCTCTTAGTTCAAACAATGTGATAATAAAGTATATCTCGATCCTGCAAACCACTAATATTATAAACACAAATAAATCATATTTCTAAACAATATATCCCATCCCGTAGATCCCCACATACTGACCCTATACAATGATCTTACGAGATCTAGCCTAAGGAATCAATATGAACCACAAACTGACGAAGCTGCTTCGAAAATTCCCTGGCAGCAAACGAGGATCAATAAAGACATCAATTGAGGGGAATGGAATAAGTTTAACCACGAACCTTCGTTCGTAAAAGAAGGAACTACAAGATAGTTAAGTCATGGGTAGTTATCTAGATAACAATGCCTAGGCGTCGTCCGAATATCGTGAGGTATTATACCACCAGACTCTCCCTATCCAACATCGAACTTTGCCTAGCAGTGGCCTGAATACATGAGGTAGTTCACCCCCAGACGCACCCTATCCAGCAATATAACACCAGACATACCTACCAGTGGTCTATTACCGACACACTTTATTAGGCAGTCTACGAAGTTCCCTTAATTACTTCATGAAAGAAAACACTGACATACGAAGCTCGGTCGATAACCTCATAAAAGAAACGCTGACTCCAAAGCTCTCTCAATATAAAAGTATGGGGAAATACTACTAGAGTACTCCCGTATGTTCCCGTAGCAGACACAAAAAATTGTCAAAAAGACTTTGTACATGATAGTACTTCTGGCACATTATGGTACTATGGTATGCAAAAGACTCGTACCCGAGAACGTAAAACTACCCTGGCACAAGCAGCACCCAAGACACACAGCTTTGAAAAAGACTTCGTACATAAAACGTACTTCTGTACGTAGGACGTACTCCACCGATCATCAATCTCACAACACACGTACTTTTAATAAGAGGCTACCCAATGTCCAAACTTAATGGAACTAAACATCCCTATTTAAGTCTTAACCCATCACTAGGCAAGCCTACGATGCCTATAATCAATTTTCGATACTATCTCCATTTGGAAACACTAACTATGAGTATATTTAACACAAAGTTTTAAGTAATAATATCATATATACACATCTTAACACATATTGGACCATAACTGGTTCGTACGTTGTATATCATCAATTATATATATATATATATATATATATATATATATATATATATATATATATATATATATATATAACACGTATTTCGGGCAATAACAAATACTTCACATACATATATAATTAATACTTTAATCCATACTTGTGTTAAACTTATGTCCATGAAAGGGACTATGCACACGATACCCTATCGGATGAACACTTAGTTCAAAAAAACATAATCCGTACTCTCGGATCTAAAATTTACCTCATTACCTAATCCATATTCCTGAATCTAAAACTAACATCTTGATCTAATCCATACTCCCGAATCTATAACAAGTTTATCTCTTTATCCTTTTATCTTATGATCCAAATCATCTTTTATCCCATACCAACAATCTCATCTACCCATGTTCTACCCAAAATATTCATAGATGCAAAATACGTATACAGTTTAACTCATTAAAACCTATATAATTTATCCATTCCACAATTAACTCAAATAAACACAATATATACACACATAACACGTATTTCATAGCAAATACTTAATATTTATGTGTAAAAAGAAAGTAACTGTAACATCCAAAAAATTTCAACCAATTTAAACTTTTCAAAAACAACCCATATTCATTAATTCATTACAAAAAGGTTTTCAATTCATTTATTATCAGAGTATTTCCTAGAACCACATCATAAATACGTAAAACATGAGGAGTGGTACAATCATGCCTTTACCTTGCCACGGTCTCCTGAAGAACCTGAAACAATAACTGTAAGCCCGAAAGCTTAGTGAGATACCCCCAAAATACCAACCACATATACCATACTCATAACATATCATATCATAAACAGAACAACCATGCACTTTTGGTCTACTACATGACTGGTCCACCGCACCGGGCCTTCAGTCCACCTAGTCCATCCTCCAAGTCTAGCCATATACATCGAGTCTACAATGTGGTTGGTCCACCCACACCGGGCCTTCAACCCACCGGGTCCACTCTATGAGTCTACAGTATGACTGGTCCACCCGCACCGGGCCTTCAGTCGGCCTGGTCCACTCTCTGAGCCTCGGCACGTTTGGTCCTCCCTCGTGGGGACTACAACCTATCCGGACCGCTCGCTGGGCCTTCGGGATATCTGGTCCGCCTTGGGTATGTTGGCCTACAACACAAAGCAGGAACCGCCTCAACCCAACCCCAGTCAATCAACCATGTGCACATAAACATATAATCATATAACAATTCAATAACATAACAACTACCTAGATTTCCATCTGATAAAGGGCCGACCTTGGTGCCTTAGACCCTGTCGATATAGTGAGGATAACTCGCCTCACAACTATTGACTTAATAGATAAGATCACGTTGCTCCAACCTCCGACATGCACTCCACCACTGATCAATACCAAATGACTAAACTCAATAAATACTAATAATTACCAAAACACCCTTGGAAGTCAACTGGTCAACTCTTGGTCAAAGTCAAAGTCCTCAGTCAAAGTCCACCTTCCTGTGTGACCCTACTCGCTGAGTCGCCCCGATGACTCGCCGAGTCCCACAATTCTGAGTCCCTTCTCGCCCAACTCACTGAGTCATCCCTCGACTCACCGATTCACCGTTCAACCATAAAAGGTTAGGACTCCACGACCAGACTCGCCGAGTCCAAGAACAGAGTCCAAAGAAATATTTACTCGTCGAGTTCATGCACATATTCATACTACTCGGCGAGTTCACCCATGTGACTCGCCGAGTCCAGATGTGACACCTTCATCCAGACGATTTCAAGTCATTCCATTGCTTCCAATACATTGATTTGGACTCCTAGGTCCAGATTCACACGTAAAGTTTCCAAGTTTAAGTGCATGCAAGGCTCAAACAAGCTCCAACAAGCTTAAAATGAAGGTTTAAGGCAAGGACACTCTCAATCAAGCCCAAGGATTGATGCTTTCTGCCCTTATGACTCCAATACAACCTAGATCTGAAGTTGCAACTTCAGATCTAACCTCTAAACCCGAAATGGATCCAAACCAAGCTAAAGAATCCCCCCAAACAACCACCATTGATGACAATAAGGAAAAGGCTTAAGGCAATGGCTTCTTACCCCAAAGATGAGTCTAAACTGATGTAGATTTCAGATCCACAAGCCCTTTTGATGCTATCCTCAATGTCCTCCAACTTCTCTACACAAATTTCTCCTTCCAAGCTTTAATCTTCTCAACAATGGAGCCTCTCACGATTTAGGGTTTTCTGGAACTAAAAGGAAGGTAAAGAGGCTGAGGGTAGCTATAATGTGCTTTATATATAGCACAAAACCTGGATTATGGTTTTTCTCCCTTCAGCACCAACTCGCCGAGTCCAACCGCCGACTCACCGAGTTGGTCACTAAGCATGTGACCAAAATCGCAAGTCGACTCGCTGAGTCTATCCATGGACTCGCCGAGTCGATCCTCCTTAATTACACCAAGCACCGTGAAGTTGCACTTCTGAACTCGAGGTGTTACAGTAACCACAAACTCACTTGATCAAAAGATGATCGGACAACACTACGGCTCTAAGAGTAGTACTTCTTCGGTGAAACTAGAAGATCTTCACACACTGGGCTTCTCGCAGGCAGAGCTTCGGCTCGAAAACTCTTTTATTCTTGAGTTCTTCAGGCTTCGGGACTTGCTTCGTGTCTCTGGATGATACCGGGGCTTCGAGGTGTTAAAATAGGGCTTAGAGACAGTATCGGGAGTAGGAGAGTAAGAGATGAGTAACCAAACTCAACTGCCCCTTGAATTCTATTTATATGGTGAATTTTCTGAGTTCACCTCGTGAGTTTCTAATATTCACCTCGTGAGCTCGATACGTCATTGCATTTTTCATGGCCACTTGCCCTGTAAGACGTCCATCATCTGTTCACCTCGTGAATTTCTAATATTCACCTCGTGAGTTCTGACAGTTTTGGGGTTTCGCGCCTCGAACTTCAGAAATTCATAACTTTCGTATACGAACTCCGTTTTCGACATTCTTTATATCCACGCGTAGGTAAAAACAAGATCTACAACTTTAATTTAGACTTAGTCGGCAAATTTTGACTTTAATTTTAATATATTATTTTTAGTAGGCTGGGACAGGAAAACTCCGTTATAAACTCATAACTCCTTCATCTGAACTCAGTTTTCGTCTGTCTTTTCATCGTTGCATTACTATTGATGAGATCTTCAATTCTCATTTAGAAAGTTTTGGCTAAATATCGCTCGATCTCATATTCGAATTTCGAGTTGTCTACTACTAAGCTGAAACTTCGAAAAATCATAACTTCCTCATACAAAGTCAGATTTGGGCGTTCTTTTTATGCACGCTTTCGGTTTAACATATTCTACGACTATTGTTTAGATCGCTAACGCTAAATATTGTCTAACGTAAATTCACTTTTTACGTCATTCAGCGTCGTGCCAGTTCTGTCGCAAAACTTCAACGGGTCGTAACTTCTTCGTTATAACTCGGATTTCGGTGTTCTTTATATGCACAGAATCCTAGTAACATATACTAAAACTTAGTTAAGACAACTCCTTCTAAATCATCTTCCATAAAAAAGTCATTTTGATGCTTATCGTCTCTAAATTGACTAGCCCTGATCTACGGGTGTTACATGGGACACAGTCCTCATTTTTTCAACCATCTAAGGTATGTCTGATGAGGGAAAGCCTTCCGACACGCCCAATGCACCTCAAAGGATAGAACAGGCACTGAGATGTCTTTGAAGAACTTGGCATTGCTACTATCTCTTTCCACTAGGGCGCAGAAAACCCATCACCAAGAACATCCCCAATACTGCCATGAAGCTTGGGAAAGGACATTGTGTTTCACCTCTTACGAGGACGGAGGCCCACGTTATCAGATCCGGTCTCTATTTCCAACAAAATCACCATGCGCATACTTTGTTTTCTCCTCATAAGAGTAGTACTTTTTCGTGGTTGAACCACCACATGAGTATCGGTAGAGGTAGAGTCCGGAGAAGAGGCTGGGAAAGTAGCCTCAACACCCGATTGAGAAGACGAGGCAGGTCCACTAGGACCAACATTTCCCACTTCTTTCGGGAGCAATATAGTGAGCTCCCACATACGTCTTTCAGATACACAAGGGGGAAGAGTCTCCACAAGGTTAACCTCCCGATGACAAATCTTACCCTAATGATGGCCACACATGGCCATCTACAAGGAAATATCAGTTTCGGTACCTGCAAACAGAAACACCAAACATGAGAACTGACAAACCAATAAAAGACTATGTTCTTATTCTTGTAAAAAAGGGAGGGGGGAGATGAGACAATACCATCTCTCCTGACAAATAATTGCGATGATCGAGGGAAGTCATAGATCGATGATCCTTTTGCCAGAATCATCACGCCATTCTCGGTCAAGAAACCAAATTGTTCTTATAGTAGTCGAAATTCCTCTACGGTAGGGACTCTTCCGTAACGATCCATCGTTAAGAATGGATGAGTGACGAAAAAGAAAAAACCACAAAATGCATGAGTCGTTACAACGAAAGCAAGAAAAGAAGGCAAGGGTGAAAGGTCTTGAGTAATGGGGGAAATTTAAAGGTAAAATTGGTGTCACGAACAGTCTCACGATTGATATGACACATATCGACGATGCTATCTAAGTATATCGAATGCCAGTAATGATCTCAGACATACAAGTGTGGTAATGTAGGCTCGAACGGCAATGCTACCAAGTTAACACATACTCCTACAAGCCTAAGGGACTTGTTAACGTATCCCCCAGGAAAAATGTTAAAGAAGAAAAGTTAAACTAGCGCCAAGCATAGCTTAGTTAGAGTCTAGTCATACCACGTATAAAGCCAACGTCGGGCCTCCACCTGCATGAACTCACCTGTATGGTGGTTAAGGGACAGAACTGCGCCTTACCCTATTCTCCTCGAGAGAAATACCCATGAAAACCTGGAGCCAATCAGAGAACTCCACTTGCCTATCTGACGACATCCATGATAATCATCATATCGAAGATTCCCCTCTAGCCAATAGGGGAACGAGATAGAAAGACGTGATGGAGGATCCTCCAATACGGATCCGCTACGTCACGTATAATGAGGGAAGGCTCAACAAAATCAGTTAGAAGTCACGTACCTTTCGATCAGGTATAAAAGGACCCTTCTTCCCCACAGAGAGGGGGACGAGACCTTTTTCTCCCAGTCATTCTCTATCTTCTATCTGAATCAATTCTAACTTGATTTTCGGAGCTTTTTCCTTGGAACCACTCCCGGACGTTGTCTAACGATTATCTATTTTCTGTGTACTGTGATATCAGGAGAATGAACCAACTCAACTCCCACCCTTGATCTCTATCCTACCATCTCTAACATATCACAACATGAACCTATTTTTCTTGTTGGGTCTTGAAGACCCCTCAAACTTCATCTTCTCGCTAAATCCAGTTCTCTCTAGACCCTTTTCCCTTATGTGGGTCTCAATATTCTTGCCTGCCCAAATGGCAGCTTTCAAAGTGGTCGCTTGCTTGACCATCGGACCAAAGTCAGCTGGCAATCCATTAGTAAACTTTTTGACCTTCGAGAGTTCAGTCAGAACCAAATAAGGAACAAGCTTCATTTTCTCCGTAAATCTTGAAGCATACACGGTTACGCTTATCCTTCCCTTATTTAGATTTTGAAACTCATTGATGATCTCCAGTAGATCCTGCTCAGAGCAGTATTGCATTTTCAGTTGCACCAAAAAGTCTTCCCAAGACATCTTAATAGCTTCTCCTTTGGGAATGTGTAACAACCATGATTTTACGACCAATTTAAACTTTTCAAAAACAACCCAATTCCATTAATTATTACAAAAAGGTTTTCAGTTTGTTTATTTTCAGAGTATCCCAGAAACATCATTGTAAAAATGAGGAGCGGTACGATCACGCCTTCGCCTTGCCATGATCTCCTGAAGCACCTGAAACAAAACACTAAAACGGTAAGCCTAAAAGCTTAGTGAGTTACCCCTAAAATACCAACCACATATAACCATACTCCTAACATATCGCAATACAGATCAGCCATGCATATCGAATCTACAGTGTGACTGGTCCGCCCGTACCGGGCCTTCAATCCACCTGGTCCACTCTCTGAGTCTACAGTATGACTGGTCCGCCCGCACCGGGCCTTCAGACGGTCTGGTCCACTCTCCGAGCCTCGGCACATCTGGACCGCCCTCTTGGGGCTTTCAGCCTATCTGGACCACTCGTTGGGCCTACGGTCTATCCGGTTCGCCCTAGGTATGTGGCCTACAGCACAAAGCAGAACCCACCTCAACCCAACCCCAGTCAATAACCATGTGCACATAAAACAGTTAATCACATAACAATCATCAGTCAAACAAATGGTTCAATCAGATTATACAACATAACAACATTCTAACCAGGATACTGACCTAACCGGTCACTAACATAACATTACCCTACATACCAGGATACCAACTTTAACCAGGTCACTAACATAATATCATCCTAATACCACGATGCAGATCTACCAACTCAATATATCAAAAAAATATCCTGATTCCCATCCAATAAAGGGTCGGCCTTGGTGCCTTAGACCCTGTTGATATAGAGAGGATAACTCACCTTGCAACTGCTGAACCAAACCACGAAAGCACAATCCCGAAGCTCTGCCCCAAACTCCAACACCTATAGCCATCAATGATCCATTGACATAAATATCCGAAATACCATAATACCCCCGAAGGTCAAACTGGTCAAAGTCAACCTTCCTGATTGACCCTACTCGCCGAGTCTATCCATTGAATTACCGAGTTCCTAAACTCAAGAAACTCTCGTATCACGACTCAACTCGCCGAGTCACCCCATGACTCGTCGATTTCTACAATCTCTGAGTCCTATCATGTCCAACTCATTGTGTCACCACTCAACTCACTGATCTGAGTCTTAACCATAAGAGGTTGGGGGGTTGTGCTATGACTCGCTGAGTCCAAGAACAGACTCGTCGGGTCTACGACAACCTTCATCAGACTCGCCGAGTTGTTCTTCCAACTCGCCGAGTCCAAGCTCATCATCATATGACTCGCCGAGTCCATCCATGCGACTCACCGAGTCTCTTCAGTCCTTCATCCATACAGAGGCTTTTCGAGCTATGTAGGGGCTCCAAAATGTAGATTCATTCTTCTAGGGCAGAACTCTCACATAAAGTTGCAAACTTTACGTGAAAACAAAGAGCTAAAGACCCAAATCAATCTAGGGCTAAGGTTTTAAGACATGAATGCTCACAAGCATGCCAAGGGCTGATACTTTCCAACTATATGGACCAAAACAAGCCAAGATCTAAAGTTTCAACCTCAGACCTAGTCCCAAAACCCGAAATGGATTCCAAACATGCTAAAAGGCCCCAAATCATCACCTAAAAATAGATCTAGAAGGGAAAATCTCAAGGTAACAACTTGCCAAGATGGAGTAGATTCTAGATCTCAACGAATCCCTTGATGCTTTATACTTGATCTACAAGTCTCCTTTGCTAGAACCTCCTTCCAAATCTTCCAAGCTCACTCCAAAGGCTCACACTCGATTTTAGTGTTCACTAGCTCTCAAGTGCAATAAGGAGGCTGAGGGGAGGACATAAAGTCCTTTAAATAGGGTGCAAACCCTAAGATTAGGGTTTTCTCTTCCCAGCACCAACTCGTCGAGTCCAGATGCCGACTCGGCGTATTGGTCACTTAACTTGCGACCAAATCCCGCTCTGAATCGACAAGTAACCACACCTACTCATTGAGTAGCTCCCTCAATGTACACTTTAGACCCTTCAATCTCACTTCTGAAATTTGGGATGTTACAGAATGGTATTAACTATTAGCTTCTACCAACTTAATACCCCAGTCTTCAACTGTGTTACAGGGAGAGCGGTCTTCTGTTTGTTGTTGATGTCGCAACTTTCAAACATCATCTCCATCTCGGAGATCCAATCCATGAATTCCACCAGTGTTGGGCTTCCAGAAAGACTCCGTGGTTTGGATGCCATAAAATCCTTGTACTTATATCCATATCCATTATTTCCGCCATTAGGTTGGTTTCTTCTAACCACTCGTGGCTCTGCTTTACTAATAGTCTGACTATTTGACTGTTTAATGTTCAGTTCAGGCTATACAATAGATATTGTAGGTTCATCCCTATTAAGCAACAGTTTCCTCATCTCCTCCATTTGTTCGGCCATCATAGCGCGAATCATTACTTGGACTCCTGCCATCATGAGTGTCTCGGGTGCAGCTGCTACCTCCGGTGCACGCTCAATCACATGTCGTTGATTAGCATTTCCATTAGTATTTCCGAATCTGCATCGAGTTCCCCCCATGTCGATCTATACACCAAATCAGACGCTCGGTGTGCAGTGATGAGAATTTGGATAGGGAAAGCTTTATTTGCGATAGATGTATAAATCTCCTTATCATTTTGAAAAGTTACATGCCAGTTCTAATACCATAACTAAACGATTAGAAATCTGAACACATAAAGTTTCCAAATCAAGTCAGCAACAAACCATAGATCCAATCAAATAATGGAGTCATAAAGCATCACAAATCATATAGCACATCAAAGCATTTTAGGCATCTTCCTTAAATAAGCTAGTGTTTGTGTCTATGTACTTCCTAAAATATATTAGACACACTCCTCATGGTCATCGCTTAACATTCTAAGTTTATGTCTAGAAATAAATCTTTATTCCTAGTTTGCTTAAACTAATGCTCTGATACCAACTGTGACATCCCCAATTTCATGGTCATTTTAAAAGTTTTATTTATTCTTATTTAAAAATCAGAGAATTCATTTTAAAGAGTAATATTGCGGAATTTGTTCCCAGAAAACATGATAAATATATTATCAAAGCATTTCCGAAGAAATGTATTTTATTAATATTACAACTTTGGGATGTCATTGTCAATACAAAAACATAAACATAAACAGGCTTACATTCATTTACAATAATGATTTACATCTCCTTTAATCTCCCTATGCAATGTGTCTTTGTATCGATACCTATGATACAAATAAACTGAGTGGGTCAAGTTGGGAAACCTGGTGAGTACATAGGGATTTCAATC